GCAGCGATTCTGAATACAACACTTTCACAGGTAAGTCTGCAAGATAATTGTTCCGCCTTTGTCTGAAAACCAAACTATATGCACCGCACTGCAAATTAACATGTCCCCTAGACAATACATGCCTCTTTTTAAAAACCGTTTATCTGAACTACAGAGCCTTGCAAGGTTTCTACTAACATCTTAAGACAAATTTTTTCTCAACAAATGGTGTTTTGTGCTCATTGGGTAAACTTGAATATTTCTCTTGGTAGAGCTCAGTGCTTGTCAATGGAAACAAGTTTATGAGTATAACGTAAACATATATAAGGGCAGAGTTTCTTGTCCCTAATGAGATAACCCGTAAACGGCTCAATTTTGACACTTGCTTTTGCTTGATTTTGAGGTAATAAAACAGGTAAAGCCCCCACAAAAACTGATGTCGCCTAGATATAAACCGTCCAGCATACGGATACCCACGGTCATTCAGATAAACTACATGCCGCATGTGCTATGGATATGTGTCTCTTGGTGGCGAAAGGGATTATTGACTTCCCATCAAGCGTCTTCAGACTCAATGGATTTATCGACGTCTACTGGATTGTACAAGATGGAGGACTCTGTCTACTAATGGGATATCTTCTGAAACAGCACAAGGTTTTTGCGGAATTTCTTCTCCAAAAATGCCGATTAGTATGCATTCCATTCCAGGTGTGGCGAGGTTGCAAACTACGAATCATTGCTATCGCACAAGAAAACGACAACAATCTTAAGATGCAGTCTGAACTACAACAATATGTCTATCAATTGCGAATTGACGCCAAAATTTTGGTAATGTTGCCACAGTTGCTGTAAAAAAGCTTCTTTGAAACTGGATAAACTCGATTATGGTGTTTGTTCTACTCACATTCTTTAAAGATTGTCGAGCTGGCTGATCCCGAAATTTCCAAAAACGCTTTCGAGCGCACGCTTCTTATGGAGGAACGCACTATCGTGCTTAAGCAAATGCAAGAGGCTAAAAGCGGCGGAAGCAACGCTTCTCGAGGAATCTCGGTACGCTTAGCTCGCATTCAACAGCCTTTTTTTCTATATTAAACTAAACATTCTAAAATTAGCCTCTCGTCACGGCGGAACAACGTGAGAAATCGGCCAAGAAGTCAGATGATGAAAAAGGAGATAGCAAATCACATGAAGAGAATGGAGGTATACTATTTTAATAGCAACTTCCTTGATGTTTCATTACTTTTTGTGTACAACCTTGTCATCAAACAAAGATGTATTTTATTTTGTTATTATTTTTTAAAGTTACAGATAAAACACCTGAGGATGAATCTGGAGCTGATGATAGCAAGAAAGAGAAGACAATGAAAGAAAAAATGCGCGCTCTAGACCGAACGAAAGTGGGCCCTTACGACAAAAAAAAATAGTCAGATTTGGAAAATTCCCATTTTTAGGTGCATAAAATGCACACAGCTGTTCGACTGAACGAGCTCATCATTGAACATTCCCTGAACAGCCAACTTGTTCTTTTGAACTTGCCAAAGCCTCCGAAGACCAAAGAAGGTTAGTCTTCTCAACTAATTACATATTCAAGTCAGCGTATCTAAGATTACTATGGGAAATTCCCTTGTAAACCGCAATTGCAGTTCTTGTATTCCAGGGAAAAAGTGCTTAGTGGTAATCTTTTTAGATCATATATGTATCTTTGACTTTTTAGGACTTGGCGATTACATCCATTACCTGGAAGTTTTGTCGGACAAAATCAGTCGGGTAATTTTTGTACGGGGCACCGGAAAAGAAGTCATCACCACGTGCTCTTAGTTCGCTAGGTTGTGCGCTCTATGGCTGTTCTGTTATTTTTTGTTGTCTTTCTTCGCTCTTCTATTTTGACCACATTGGCTTGTGCTAATCGCAGATAACGTGGTTCTTCCTGGTGTGTGCTACCGTGATCTGTCTTACCGTCGCTCTCCGTTGCCAATCTCCTTGTCATATATCATTCTGTAATTGTAGTTTTAATCAGAAATCCCGGGCAACGGCCAAACGGTGCATCAAGTTTCTACTTGACTCCGCATAATGTATTAAGTCGGCGTTAGAAAGTGCCTTTTGTCCAATGTGTTGTTGATTCGATGCTTCACTTTTATTACGACATCTATGAAATGTTCAGGAAGGTAGGTCGGTCGTCTCTAACCTTAGTAATAAGCGTGACCTAGTACTCTCGCCGGATGATTTGTGCATTTCCTCGTATTCGAGGCTTCACAGAACGCCACCCTGTGCGGCGCAGTAA